CCTCCTCTGACAGCGAGACCGGCCAATGTTAGAGTCCCGGCCGCTAATGGAATACAGGCCAATATTAGAGAATTTACGATAATTCTAATTTTGTAAGTTTTTTATCAAGTTTGCTTAATACTGTGCACAGCAAACAACCTCAAAATATTGTTCTTATTGTTTATTGTATTTTATTTTATTAATCGAAATATTTCCGTTGAAATTTTTTTTCAAGTTTTTATCCTTGTGGTATCGAAAATGGTATCGAGTATCGAATAGTTTCCTTAATATCGGTATCGAGTTGAAAAGTTTAGTATCGTGACAACCCTAGCGCGCGGTGACTTTCATTTTCCATTTTCCGTCCATCATTGCTGGGTTCAGACCCGAGGCAACGCCAGTCAGTGGTTAAAACGCTAGGTTTATCTTAAATATAAAATGTCTTTACATTTTTTTTTTCACATTTTGGTATAATTACTGCTCTAAGTCAGTTGCTCTGTCAGCTAAAGGCATGTTTTAGACTCTACATTTCAGTTAACGATTAATCGATTACTTAATTGACTATTATTTGAATATTCGATAAATCCGATTACCGGTTTCAGCTCTAATTTAAACAGCTTAAGTTCTTTTATTGCAGCAACAACTCAGTGGAGTCCAATGTTTTAGTCATTTGTAACTCTTGGCATGAAAGCAAAGTTTAAAGACATATATTTATTGTATTGTATCATTTATTAAAGTGATGTGTGTTTATTATGTTACAGTAAGGAAAGCTTGTCCAAAAACACACGAGGTGAGAAGTCTGACATCCATGTGTTGGAAGCTGATAGATGAAGGTACATTTTCTGTTTTCTTTTACAGTCAGAGTCCGGTGATGACGACAGTTTGATGTTGGTGAGCCGCCCAGGAGGCCGCCAGTGGTCCCGGCCGCTGGTCCCAGAGATGTGTTTCAACACTCACTCCGGCAGAACCAATGACGGCGGGGAGGGCCAGCTGTCCAATCCTCATGTAGCCGAAGACGGGACAAGCCGCCTCATCAGCTGTGCTCAGTGCTGCGTTCGAGTTCACACAAGTAAGCCCATCTGCCTGGGAAGACATCGGAAATCTGTCTAGATTCTGTGTAAGAAGAAGAAAATACAGTTTTCCAGTTTAAAAGGAATGTTTATGATAGATGCCTACTAGTCCCATGAGGAACGGCACTGATAATGATAATGATCAATTTGTGCGCAGAGATGAGGTTTTGTTGATTTATTAAAAAAACTGAGGCAGACATCCAAAAATGCAAAATACAAAGAACCAAAAAAAACAGAAAACATCAGGTAAAACTCACATGGGGTGCCAGAGATGATGATGCAACTAACGACAAGGAACCAGCACTGTAGAAGTGCACAGGGAGAGGATATATGGCAGATGCAACAAAGACTGGGGTAATCAGATGATGTGGATGGAAGAGACTAGAAGGGAGCTAAGGGAAAGGAGACGGGCACAAGAAAATGTAAAGTCTGTTAGAAATTGGAGACGGAGACAAAGCAGACTGCAGGAACAAAGCTTCCTTTTAATTTAGACACTTGGAAGTGGAGAACATCACAGTTACACAGAATCTCAGTGAGCTCTGACTGGGCTGGCTCATTCCCCTCTACATATAGATCGCTTTCACGCGTAAAAGAGGTTTCAAAACATTAACAGAAACTCTTTTGCACAACACAATGGTTTCCACAGAACTGACCTCTTGAGGTGTTTCATAGTAACTGTTTCGCCACTAATTGCTCTTGCTTGTTACTGTTTAAACTACACCTATTTCAAACTGACTTTCCCAGCTTCTGCACAGATGTTTACCCTGTTAGGAAACTCTGCAAGGTCATCTTACACCCTTGTGACCTTCAACAAACATGCTGCTCGCTTAAACGGAAAGATATAAGTTGAACAAACACTTTTAACTTCACAATAACATATAACACAAAATGGAAAATAAACCAAAGATCAACTAAACAGAATTACTTGGATAGTGAAAACTAAAAAAAAATCAAAGTCGCAACAAGGGAAAATCATGACAAAAGCGTTTGCACGTTATTCATTATAGAACAAAATCAAAAGCAAGTTCTTTCCTTGAGTTTAGTTATCAATATAATGAATTCATTTAAAGATGAATTATCTTATCAATCGCCTAAGGAGTCATCGATAAGCGGCCATTTTCTTAAAAACCCGATTTTTCTCTTACACCAAGAATCTTTTCATTTACATGAAGGGCTTTTTTTTCCAATATACTGTATTTAAAATATAGTACATGAATATATTCTTACGATTTTTAGTTCCACCTGTATTATTTACTGACTGGATAAAAAACTAGATATATATTTAACTAGAAGATACAGCCAAAAAGAGTTACTGGATAATAGAACATTAATAAAATATGTGA